GTTCACAGTCCTCATCCACAGTCGCCACTGAGTACCATCACAATTTAAGAAAATCATGCTGCGGGTCACTTGCTTTTTCCTACTAATTCAAAAACATGTCATTTTTCTCCAGAGTAAAAGTAAATTATCTTTTTTTAACCAAAGAAACACAGCCTGGTGAAGGTGTATATATTTTTTGTTTGCCACGATATTTTTGTAGGTATAAAAATTCAACCCTTCCCTTCCATTTCTGCTTTCCCATTCTCCCCTCCTGCCATTTCCCCCATATTAGCACAGTAATATAGTTCCTTAGTGCAAGTTGCACGTTTAACTTTCTGGTGTTTAAATGACATGATAAGTACAGTCAAAGGTGGAAAACCTAGTCTCATTATGTAGAGGTATATTTATAAGTCTCATTGGGAGCTTTTGATTCAGAAGTAATGACATACACAGCATAGTACCTTTACTTTCTGGTATGCTAGTCTCCCTTGAATGTACATGGATGTGTGTGTATGTGTGTGTGTAGTGAAGAACTACATATATGTGTGTGTAACATATATGTGTGTAATGTTTCCTTTGCCATCCAGAAGCTTCTTAGTTTAATGTAGTCCCATTTGTTTATTTTGGCTTTAACTGCCTGTGCTTTTGGTGTCTTTTCTAGGAAGTCTTTGCCTACACCTATTTATGTTACTTACTTTAAAGGCAGAATTATCAGGGGGTTGGAGGAGGAAGAGCAAGACAGAAGAGATCTCCTATCTGTTGGTTCACTCTCCAAATGGCAGCAACAGCCAAGGATGGGCCGGGACAAAGCTAGGAGCAAGGAGCTTTCTCCAGGTCCCCGACGTGGGTGCAGGGACCCAAGTGCTTGGGCCAATATCCTTTGCTCTCCCAGGCACATTAGCAGGGAGCTGGATGAGAAGTGGAGCAGCCAGGACTCCCAACATGTCCCCAAATGAGATGCCAGCAGTTTCACCTGCTGTGCCACAATGCCAGGTCCCATTTTCTGCTTATGTTAAAAAGCAAGTTCTAAAAACTACTTATATGTTTTGTGTGCCTCTGGAGTGCCAGCCCTGCCTGGTACCTGACATCTCAAAGCTGGTAAAGAACGGTATTCCATTCATCCCCCTTGGAGAGGACGGCTCTTCCTGAAGTCTCAGCTGTCCCTTCAGCAGAGCCTGGCCCCATGTGCATTCTAGGACATGGCCATTCCTGTCAGAGTTCAGGGAACTAGACTTCCTTCCCTTAAGCCCCCATTTCTACAGTGGACTCAGTTCCTTCCCTAGTGATTCCTTGTGAAAAAATGCACACAATTCAAATGTGAGCTCTGCCAATTTCCACTGGTGACCTTGAGCATGGCACCTACCCACCATGTCCAGGCATTGCAGGTGCGTCGCCTCACTGTCCTTTGCTTCATACAATAATGAGTTTGACTTTGACGATAGCAGAATTTACTGCATGTGATTCCTTTGTTTAAGATTTATTTATTTTTAGTAGGAAGGCAGATTTACAGATAAAAGGAGAGACAGAGAAACTTTCCATCCTGGTTCTGGAAGTGCTGACTCATGGCACAGGAAGAGTATGTTTACAGTATTCTCAGTGACAGTGCTCAGACCATGTGTGTGGAGTCCTGCCGTGTTCCCTCATTGCAGTTAAAGCTGTTTCCAGACCGTGTCCACGCAGGTCTGCTGCATGGTCTGCATCTGAGCACGGGCTTTGTTTCAACTCATCTGAGCTTCTCTCTGCTCTTTCGCTATTCTTGCACCAAATGGGCCCCTGCTCTTACAAATACAAATGTATTTTTTTAAAGATTTATTTATTTATTGGAAAGTCAGATATAAAGAGAGGAGCAGAGATAGAGAGGAAGATCTTCTGTCCGATGATTCACTCCCCAAGTGAGCGCAATGGCCGATTCTGCGCCGATCCGAAGCCAGGATCCAGGAACTTCTTCCGGGTCTCCCACACAGGTGCAGCGTCCCAAGGCTTTGGGCCATCCTCGACTGCTTTCCCAGGCCACAAGCAGGGAGCTGGATGGGAAGCGGGGCTGCCAGGATTAGAACCGGCGCCCATATGGGATCCGGGGGCTTTCAAGGTGAGGACCTTAGCCACTAGGCCATGCCGCCGGGCCCTACAAACATATTTCTAATAAGCAGATGCAGACGTCTGATTTCATTTGAGCTTCTGCCCTAAGTGTACCAAGCCTTTCCAATTAAAATCCATAATTTTATTATAAATTACATTTTTGTCTTTCCTCTGTCGCATTTTGGCTAATACATTAGTTTGTTTGGTGGCGGGAAACACTATGTGTTAGTAAACTCCAGTAGCTGTTAATTCCATCTCAGGAAACAAAGGGAATAATATGAAACATTCATTGTAAAGGAGAGGGCTGAGAGGCATTGGCTTAGAGAGCCAGGGAAAGCTGCCAAGACCCCGTGTGGGGAGAGATGGGTGGGGGCGGGTGAGAGTGGAAGGGCGAGCTCCACAGCAGCAGGTGGTTAGCACAGGGGCAAGTGCCCGATTCCCACCCCTTCTTGTGCACCCTGACCCCTCTCGGTGCAGCATTCCCACCCTCCGCTTTTACGTCTGCCGGACCTGTGTCTTCATTCTCAGAGAGAACCATAGCGTTTCCAAAGATCACTCTGACTCGCACCTGGTGGAGGAAGAGGGCCTGGGTTCCATGCCCATCCCCGAGTCCTCCGTCCATTTACTCAAGAAAGGGAGCATCCTGCTTTCAGGATTAGAAAGGAATATCTTCAAGCTCAGGGACCCCCGGGTGACCCTCTGGCCAGGGGAGGGAGCAAGGATGGCGCCAGACTGGAGCACAGTTCAGGGCCTCTTGGTCTGAGGCTTCCTTCCTGGTCACCGCACCCTCCATCTTTTAAGAGATCCCGTGGTAAGAAGCTTGCAGGTGGAAAGGGAGTGCGAGCCATTGGCGACTTATGCCTTTCAAACTTTTCAGCTCAAGTTTGTCTTTGAAAGATGCCTTCTCTTGTTGGTTTCTTTGGCCCATTGTGTGGTCTCAGTCTCCTAACCAAGTTCGTTGGTCACCATGGGTCACCCACAGTGCTGACTTGGCACTTTCTGTACAAGCTGCCAAAGCAAAGCTCAGTGTAGCCAGGGTCCTAGGCATTTAATATGCACAATTGAAATTGCATCCAGGGCCAGGCATAATGATCTACCAGCTAAAGTCCTCACCTTGAATGTGCTGGGATCCTATATAGGCGCCAGTTCTAATCCCGGCAGATCCACATCCCATCCAGCTCCCTGCTTGTGCCTGGGAAAGCAGTTGAGGAGAGCCCAATGGCTTGGGACCCTGCACCCGTGTGAAAGACCCAGAGGAAATCCCCTGGCTCCTGGCTTCGGATCAGCGCAGCACTGATCCGTATCAGTCACTTGGGGTGAGAATCATAAGATAGAAGATCTTCCTCTCTGTCTCTCCTCTTCTCTGTATATCTGACTTTGCAATAAAAATCTTTTAAAAAAAAAAAAAAAAGAAATTGCATCCAAAATAAAGTGAGGATCAAAGGTATTCTTTTAGTAAAATTAAAAAATTTTAAAACGTAGGTTATTTTTTTTTTCTGTTTAGGCTGTACAAGCCAGGTTTTTGCTTGCTTGTTTTAAAATGTATTTATTTGTATTGAAAAGGCAAATCAGATTTGCAGAGAGAAATATCTTCCATCCGCTAGTTCACTCCCCAAACAGCCACAGCGGCCAGAGCTGAGCTGATTCAAAGCCAGGAGCCTGGAGCTTCTTTTAGGTCTCCCACATGGGTGTAAGCCAACTTCCGTTCCCAGGCCTTAAGTAGGAAGCTGGATGGGGAGTGGAGCAGCTGGGACATGAACCAGAGTCTGTATGGGATCCAGGCACTTGCAAGGTGAGGATTTGCCATTGATCCGAGTTCCAGCCAGTTTTTCTCTCAGGCTCTTGCTGGTATCATTACTTGGTAATAAACTCAAATACTCGTTTTTTTTTTTAAGATTAATTTATTTATTGGAAAGTCAGATATACAGAGAGGAGGAGAGACAGAGAGGAAGATCTTCTGTCTGATGATTCCTCCCCAAGTGAGCACAACGGCCCATGCTATGCCAGTCCAAAGCCAGGAGCCAGGAACCTCCTCCAGGTCTCCCACACGGGTGCAGGGTCTCAAAGCTTTGGGCCATCCTCGACTGCTTTCCCAGGCCACAAGCAGGGAGCTGGATGGGAAGTGGAGCTGCTGGGATTAGAACCAGCGCCCATATGGGATCCCGGGGTGTTCAAGGCGAGACCTTTAGCTGCTAAGCCACTTCGCCGGGCCCTAACTCAAGTACTCCTAACTATGTTTTGTTTAAAACAGTAACTTTTCTGTTTTCATTCTAATGATACATCGGGGTGATGATTCCATACATGTACACAACATAAAAAATCAGATCCGTTTAATTAGCATTCCTTCTCCTTAAACATTTTTCTTTAATTTGGGGTAGCTTAATTCTGAAAAATTGTGCAGACTTACAAAAAAAAAATGTTTCCAGCTTTTGGGGAGAAATAGGGACTTAAATGTAAAAGTAAACAAAAAGCAAAGGAAGTGTGAGAGGTAAACATTTGGCGTGGCAGTGAAGACCCCCCGGAGACCCTCATGTCCCACAGGGGAGTGTCTGGAGTTCTGGCTGCCGTGGTCCCAGGCAGTGTCCTGCCCATGCGTACCCACATAGCAGCAGGTGATGGCTCCAGCACCAGGGTCCCTGCCACCCACAACAGAGGCTCTGATTGAGTTCCCAAAAAAATGCTCTCGGGTTTGGCCTGACCCAGCCCTGGCCATGGCAGGCACTCAGGGAGTGAATCAGTAGACAGAAGATGCGTTCTGTCTCTCAAAACAACACCACCAGCAAGGGTCCTCACTGTCATGCGCAAGTGGAGATGACTGCTCTACTTGGACGGCAAGGATGGATAGCCATTTGTGGGCAGTCCTACCTGTACAGGTCACTCATAGAAACGTGTCTGTGCTGTACTTCTGTTCCATGATGAACGTCCCTGGTTCTGTCTTTCAGGCCCCGTGGGAGTTGGGCTGAATGAACTGAAACGGAAGCTGCTCATCAGCGACACCCAGCACTACGGCGTGACCGTCCCCCGTGAGTTGGTTCCTCCTTAACCTGTTGCCCTCTGCCTTGGCTAAGGATGGGTGCTGAGTGCTCACAGAGCCCGCGGGGCCCCAGCCCTGGGCAGCATGCCTGAGGAGGGCCCTGCTGCACAGAGAGGCGCCGGGGCTTGCTGCAGACCGCAGAGATGCTGGGCAGCACGGCTGCTCTCTCAGTTCCCCCGCCTCCCCGTGTGTGGTGTGTCCTAACACACGGATGACTTCAAGTTGCCGTTGACATGTTTTCTTGGTGCTGTAAGTCGTGCCGCCCTGTTTCCTGCAATCCATGCTGGTGTTTTCCAGGCTTTTTCACCAGCTTCAGGATCCGAGCAGCTAGACCGCTGAGAGCTGAAGGAGACTGCTTGTAGTAGACGCGTTTTCTCAATGACTTAGTATAGCTTCCAGCCGGCAGAAAGCGCTCAGCGGCCCTCTGCTTCAAATACGGCCGGCTCCTTTTCAGGACGCAGTTAAATCTGCATGAAAGCGGTTTCCTCAGGCATTCTTACAGATGAAATGTGATACTGGAAGCATTTTGATCTCCAGAAAGAAATGCCATTTGACTACTTAATATGTTGATGTTAGGAAAGCTGTCTGAAAGGCTAAATTGAAATGTTGGCTTTCATCAAGTGGTTTTAGTAGGTTTTTTTCTTAAATCATTTGTATATTGCCCTTAGGAATGTTCTCTCATTTGGGAAGAGTTCAACTTTATTTTTAAATTACAGTTTTCTGTTACCTCCAGTTACTTCTTGTTACTACATTTTCCAAAATTGTTATTCATAATCATTTTCAGCCATAAGTTATACAACTGCTAGTTTCCACCAGTAGAGATGAAAGTCCAGGAAAATGTGGAATTAGACAGTTTCCTTCCCTCCTTTAATTATTCATGTCTCTTACAAAAACTGTACTTGGCAATTAGAACGTTTTTACAAACCAGTTGTTACACTTACAGGTGAACTAGTTAGAAGAAACTTAGGAGTGCAAAAACAGGTTACAAAGGGGAAAAGGAATTTTGTCCTTTCCAACAGGGTACTCACTCCTCTGCTTGGGTTGTCTTAGCTTCCGCAGCTGTCCCACAGAGGTGGCCTTGGGGGCCACTTGTCCCCTGGGCAGAGAAAGGCTTCTTGGGCACCGCAGTGGCCCCACAGGTGCCCCTTGTGCTTGGAGTGAAGCCTGGCTCAGGGAAACCCATCTCAGGCTCCTCCTCCTGCCTACACCAGCAGCCCTTGCAAGGGACAGGCCATCTTTTGGGTCCCTTGATTAGGCATAAAAGCTCATTTCTTTGGAAGATTATAAATACCAAAAAGTTCAAAATGCAGCAGTGACCTGCCAGGATAGCCTTGCTGTTCCTGAAAGACGCTGGCCTCAATTTCTCCAGCTACTGAAATGATACTTGCCTTGTTAGTCTGGAAGGTGGCAAGTTCCAGAAAGAGTGTGGGGTTGGGATTTTCCAAGAAACCCACAGGGTTAATTCTTTTCCACCCTGCTTGCAGTTTGTCATATATTTGTTTGTTTAAGATGAATTACTTTGAAGGACAGAGTGATATGACAGAAGGGAAAGGAGAGGTGGAGGGAAAGAGATCTTCCATCTGCTGGTTCACTCCCCACGTGCCGTCAGCAGCCAAGGCTGGACCAGCAGAAGCCAGAAGCACTGTCTGGGACTTTCACAGGGGAAACGTGTGCCCAGTACTTGGGTTACCTTCTAGTACTTTCCCAGGCACATCAGCAAGGAGCTAGATCCAAAACAAAGCAACCAGAACCTGGATGGGCATTCTGAAATAAGGTTTCAGCGTCATAGGCAGTAGCTTAACCTACCGTGCACTCCACTTTTCCATTCTCTTAATTGTGCCTTTAAAAAAATTTCTTAATTGTAATGACATTTTCATCCATCCTTTTCGTGTTTGTGGTTGTATCTTTTGTATGTTCTCTGTACAACTCCTTAGCTAGCTCAAGGCCATGAAAACACTCTCTATTTGCCCTCAGAAGCTGCATAATTTCAGTTTTTACATTTATGTTGTGACCCATTTGAAGCTGCCTATTTCCTTATTAGCAGACGAGCCTTGCCCCTTGCCTCAGGGGATACATTCTGATGACTTACTGTTCATGCAGAGGTCAGAGTGGGTGATCTCTCAGAGAGCCTGGCTCCACTGGCCATCCATCTGCCTTCTGCTGTGCTCCAGGGCGGCAGCAGTGATGTCTCAGGGCTTGGGAAACCAGATGGAAGCCCAGGCTCTTGGCCTCCCCCGATTGTGGCAGGCCTCTGAAAAAGAGCCAACAGGTGGAAGAGCTAATTGAGTCTCTCCAAGAAAATTAAAATAAAGATAAAAAGTGTTTTTTTTAAAATAGATAAGTTTATTTGGGTGCCAAAAATATTTGAAGCCCAAGCATAGTTGGGTTTTTTTCTTCATCATACCCACTTTCCAGGAATGTTTTAAAGACCCCTGTTGTGACTTGTGGAAGTTCTCTCAGAATGTTCTGTAGAATGCTGGCATTTCTCTCAGTGGGTCACCGACAGCTGATGCCGCACCATCAGTTCTGTGTCCGGTACCTCTGCTGTGTTGCTTGGGATCCACCTGGTCAATTCTGAGCCTTGAGGGCATGATTCAAACCTCCGCTCTGGTCTAAGGCTCGCCCTTCCTTCCTGCCTGTCTTCCTTGCTTCTGTCCTTTACTGCTTCCCAGGCCACAAGCAGGGAGCGGGAATGGGAACTGGAGCAGCAGGGACACAAATAGGCACCTTTGTGGATCCTGGTGCTTGCAGGGGGGGGGATTAGCCAATTGAGCCGTAGCACCAGACCCAGCTCAGTTGACATCTAACAGTCTCTGGATGCTAAATGCCATCTGAATCTCCCCAGTATCAGGTAGGGTTGGTTCTTTGGTGATGGCAGAGAACATGACAGCACTTCCTTCTCCAGTTTCCTCCCTGCCACGCTCTAACCCACAGGGTCTTCCTCACCTTCCCTCACAGTTTTTTCACAAAGTAAGTGAGCATTTCTTGGGGAACATAGCTGAAGTTGCTCCCAGCAGGTCCTTGTGCCCATGTCCCCATTTGGGGCAGTGCCTTCCCATGCAGGTGGCTGCCCACCACAGTCCCGCAGTCCACCTGCTTAGAGGTGGACTGTAGCAGATACGTTGCGTGGGCCCACTCAGCAGGAAAGGGCGGCTGCCAGCTGTCGTGAGTACAGACACTCCTGAGCTGGTTTGCAGCTTGGTTTTTATTCTGCTTCAGTCTTCTTCTCGGAGACATAATCAGCCCCACTGCAGAAAGATTTGCAGATCCACAGGGGTCTAGGAAGATAGCGCTAGCACCTTTGCAAGGGAGGAGTGGACATGACATGTGCACACGTGTGTGTCTCAGGAGAAAGGGCAGCAGATCTAGAGCTGACCTTCAGCCTGCAACTTCTGGTCCTGGCTGCCCTGCTTCCAGTCCAGCTGCCTGCCTGTGTGCCTGGACAGGCAGCAGAAGTGGCCCGAGTGCTTAGCCTCTACTGCTCACATAGAAGACCTGGACGGTGTTTCCGACCCCTGACTTAAGCCTGCCTTAACCCGGGGGACTGTGGCCATTTGGGGGACTATCCAGGCATAGAAGGGTATGTGTGTCTGTCTGTCTGTCTGTCTGTCTGTCTTTCCCTCTTTGTCTGTAATTCTGCCTTTCAAAATGATAGCCTACAAAGCCAATGGAATTGTTAATCCATTTTCATAACCATGTCATTTTAGTATAACTTACAACAGCATACTATATTTTCTTTGTGAATTTGCTTTTTAAAGGTTTAAAAATCCCTCTTAAAAAACTTATGTACCTATAATGTTTAGTTTTTCAGTATTTGCCTTAGGGATATTCTAAACTCCTTTCCGATCAACCACAGATACTACAAGAGCAAAACGAAGCCAGGAGAGTGATGGCGTTGAGTACATTTTCATTTCCAAGCATTTGTTTGAGACAGACGTACAGAATAACAAGTACGTGGAATTTTCTAGAACTCTTGAACTTCTTTGTAAATACATGCCTGTGTACCCCGTTTTAGCCAACCGTGGGTTCCCCTTCACTTGAAATGCATTTTCCTTCTCACGGTATTCGAGAGTTACGTAAGAAATAAGGGTGAGTCCGCGAGCCATCGTGATCGCCTTCACTTGTACTTTTTTTTAATACCCTCGAGCTGCCATGTTGGAAGTGTCAGGATTCTCTCCCGACAGGAAGGCGTGCTAGCATCTGACAGTGACCTCTTTTCCAGGCCACTGATTGAGTCCTACTGTATAATTTAGACAGAATTCTATTTTAAAAGCTAACGAAGTACCAAGTGCTGTGTGCCTGGTGCCCCTGGCCCCGCCGCCCTCCCTCTCACACTGGTTCTTCCAAACCCGGGAGGCACGGTTCCATTCTCATTACTCGCCTGTACCACTGCCTCTAGCTAGCTCGTAAGGCCTCCCCACTCCCCCATTTGGGTTTTCCATTTGCTGAAGCATGAATATTTTTGGGTATCAGACTCAAATGTGTGTTTTAGTGCACGATTGTGGGATTTTATTGAGACATCGAAATGCTTTTCTCGCCGTTGGCACAGTGGTTGTGTTTTTATAGCACATAATCGGCTGCCCTGGTTCCATTAGCCACCCCCAGCTCCCGCCACGCACTCCGGGGCCAGCGTGGCTCCTCGGCAGTGTGCAGTGAAACTTCAGGAGCCTCTGTGTGTGCCCAGTTCCCCGTTTTACTGAAGCAGGGGTGGATGGAAAACATTAGAATGCCTGAGACGAAAGTGCTTTTCTTCTGCGTTAAGTGTAATTCAAGCAAGTGTTACTGATTTGGAAATATGAAATTGAAGATTTTTTTTTAATAGACATTCTGGAGTACTTGGCTCTTTTTTGTTGTTGTTGTTGTTAAACAGTAAAAAAAAAAAAATTACATGGTCAGCAAAAATATTCTTAACCTATGAATGATGTCTTGCCATCTACATTGTTATTTAAATTCACAAATGACTCCAAGGCATCTGTTGTTTCCTGCAGGTTCATTGAATATGGAGAATACAAAAACAACTACTATGGCACCAGTATAGATTCGGTGAGGTCTGTGCTTGCCAAGAACAAAGTTTGTTTGCTGGACGTTCAGCCCCATGTAAGTGGCCGCTGGCCTTATCCCTCGCCCCGACCTGCGTGCCCCATGTGCCACAGGTGTTTGCTCTGTGTGTGCTCTGGGCTATCTGTGGCGTTTCCGGATCACAGAAGCCTGGAAATGTAGCTGGAAACATTTTGATGGCCAGAAACCCTATAACATCGCTAGAAAAGAGGAGTGAAGAGACCCAAGAATTGCATTTATAACTCTTGTTTGCATTCAGCTTTTACCAAGGGTGATGACTGTGATATTCCTGCATGTTAATCTTATTTATTTTGAAAGGTGTAACAACAGAGGGAGAGAATGAGAAAGGGGAGCCCCCATCCCCACTGGGGAAGTGGGGTTCACTGCCCCAGATGGGAGCAGCAGTCCGGGCTGACCCAGGCGGAAGCCAGCAATCAGAAGCTCCATCCCAGTCTCCCACAGAGGGGACAGGGATCCACCCCAGATGTCACGTCAGCCAGAAGCTGGATCAGAAGTGAAGCAGCAGGGCCCGGCGCAGTGGCGCAGTGGCGCAGTGGTTAAGGTCCTCGCCTCGCATGCCAGGGATCCCATATGGGCGCCGGTTCTAATCCTGGCAGCCCCGCTTCCCATCCAGCTCCCCGCCTGTGGCCCGGGAAGGCAGTCGAGGATGGCCCAAAGCCTTGGAACCCTGCACCCGCGTGGGAGACCCGGAAGAGGCTCCTGGCTTCGGATCGGCATAGCATCGGCCATTCTCTGTCTCTCCTCTCTGTATATCCGCCTTTTCAATAAAAAAATAATAAAATAAATCTTAAAAAAAAAAAAGAAATGAAGAGGCCGGGACTCCCAAGAAGGTGGCCTTTGTGGCACTCAGTGTCCCAGCTTGCTGAGCTACGGTGTGGGCCCTGCCGGGATATTTCCAAATCCAAGTTCAGTTGTCGAGCCTTTTTCTCCTGAGGAGGTTTTTGTTAAATGTAAAATGATCAAGGACCATCTGGATAATGATAATACCGAAGCCCTGGCTGAGCTTACCTGGAGAAGGAGTTTAAGGAATTCCCTGCTGAGAACAGGTAGACAGAAGGAAGCACTTGCAGTGCAGGTTCATGGTCACCTAGGAATGTAGGTGCTGAACACCTAGGAGGGGGGACCTGAGGGCTCCCAGCGGGAGGGAGTGCGGAGGACCGTGTGCCGATTAGTGCATCCTGTGCATTTCCTGAAATGTCCTACCGCGCCCTCTGTCTCTAGGGTAATGAAAAGGTGAGTTCATTTTTAGTTTTCTGACTGCTAGCTACCACAACATTTTGCTTAATGTTGAAGGAAGCAGAAATGCTGACGATGGAAAACCCCAGTCAGCTCCTGTTGCCTGTCATCCTCTTTCTGGTGCTCATCTCTGCAGTGAGCCTCCAGTCGGTTAGGGCCCTGTTTCCCAACTCTGCAAACGTGTCAGCAGCGTCATCTTCCTTCCTGAGTTAGTGTTCCCCCTTGCTCAGTGCCAGACTTTGTCACATAGGGAGTGAAGGAATTTTCTGCTTCGCGAGGAGAACCAGTAAAGCCTGACGTTCTAAGAAAAAGTACATTGTTCCTTCCCTGCAGACGGTGAAGCATTTAAGGACACTCGAATTCAAGCCGTATGTGATCTTTATAAAGCCCCCGTCTATAGAGCGACTCAGAGTGACAAGGAAAAATGCCAAGATCATTTCTAGCAGGGATGACCAAGCAGCTGCGAAGCCCTTCACGGTGAGGAGGGTCACGCCTTGTGGTCGGTGACTAGCTAGAGGAGAGGGGCCCCTGGCTGCTGTGCGAGGCAGTCCAGTGCTGCTGGGGGTGGCCAGAGGTGATGCTGTGGTCTGAACATCTATGCAGGATGCAGTGAACTCTTAACTGGGTCTGCCACATTAGTGACAGGCATCCCAAATGCTTGAACCATTACCTGCTGCTTCCCAGGAGGTTGGAGTCAGAAGTAGAGCTGAGGTCTGGCACCATGGCCTGGCAGGCCAAGCCTCTGCCTGCAGCACAAGCATCACATGCAGGCACCGGTTGAGGTCCTGGCTCTGATCCAGCTCCCTGTTAATGGCCTGGGAAGACAGCAGAGGAGGGTCCAAGTCTTTGGGGCCCTGCATCCATGTGGGAGACCAAGAAGCTCCTGTCTCCCATCTTCAGCCTGGCTCAGATCCAGCCATCCTAACCATTTGGGAAGTGAACTAGCAGGTGGAGGTTCTCTTTGTAACTCTTTAAAAAAGAACTGAAGTGGCACTGGGACTGAAACCCAGGCTCTGAGGTGTGGGACGAGTATGGACACAGCCCAGGCAGTGTCTCAGAGGGCTGTGCCTACCACCCACCCTGAGCTCTCCATAGTCAGTTGGCTCAACCATACATACGGATTCGATTTCCGTAGACCCAACATTTATGTGGAAGTCGGGCTAATTATTTTCAGACCAGACGTATTTTTAATGCTAAAAATAACAACTTCAGTTACTTTTAACTCACTTATAATCTAAATGAAAATTGTCATCACTTGTCTTTTTGTTTAATAACTTGTGTCAATAATCCTGTTTGGCACAGTAACAGAAAAGGCACCATTTGGGCTATGGGATGAATTAACTACTACTGCTAGTCCACAGTGACAGTTGCATTTCCTGGGAGTGTCCCTGGGAACAGAAACTGAGGTGTGTTAGTGACCAGAGGGCTTTCCAGCGCAGGTAGGAGGACTCCTGCTATGCCCTGAGGAGGTGGAGGACATGCAGCAGCCACCCCCATGATGGCATCTAACTGGGCAAAGCGGCTGATGGTACCAGTACCCTCCTTTGAATAGGCATCAGTGATGTGGCTGGGAACTGCCTCAGCAGCCACAGTCCTCCCTTTGGTAGCTATTTTAAAACTGACAGATCCCTGTAATGTGCAATGAATTAGCAACTGCTACTCTTAAGTTACCAAGGGAGTTTTGACTTAGGAGCATTGGGGTTGCAAGCCCATCAGAGAGAGAGGAGTTGTGGTTGCAGAGGGCAGTGCCTACTTCTGGCTGAGATCGCACACTGGGCACTGACCCCAGCTGCAAGTGGGCAAACCGGTTAGAGAGGGTCTGTGGAGGCCAGATGATGTCAGGACCTGGGTAACCAATTTCTTTTTCCCCTAATACTTCTTTTTGTAGGAAGAAGACTTTCAAGAAATGATTAAATCAGCACAGATAATGGAAAGTCAATATGGCCATCTTTTTGACAAAATTATAGTAAATGATGATCTCACCACGGCATTTAATGAGCTGAAAACAACTTTTGACAAATTAGAGACAGATACCCATTGGGTCCCAGTGAGCTGGCTGCATTCATAACTAGGAGGAAACTCCAGCATCATCTTGTCTTTTTGATTGAGTGCATGATTACATTAGTTGCCGTTTTGGTGGTGGGGTTTTTTTTTTCCGTCGGTGTCACTGTCACAGCTGGTTTTTTGTGTATGTCTCTTACAGCCTTATTTGAAACACAATGAGTGAATTTAAGATCCAGAATCAAAATTTGCACAGTACTGTTTTTCACGCACAATGTGGAGCCTCCTTGTCATCCTTAGTAGAAAAATCCAGTGGGAGGCTGGATTTTTTTTTCCCTAAAGAACTGCAGCTGGAGACTTGGGGTACGCTGGTGTCCGGCGCGTCTTCCCATCCCCAAGGTGGGCCCGACCATCCAAGCCTGCCTGTTAGCCACAGACGCCTTAACGAGTGGCCTTGGCACTACTCCACCCAGCCGGGAGCACTCGGCTGCTTCCCATGTGGCACAAAATAGATGGGCAGAGCTGACCACGAGGCAGATGGCACACCTGGCCCTGGCGTTTACAGGGCTGCGTTTTAAAGATCCTTCTTGAAGGATCCTTCTTGAACGTTGACCTTAAGTAACTGCCAAGTGACAGCTTGAGAAGTCCTTAGGGGCACATGGCTGCAAATATTTAATAAGGGAAAATGCGTTTTGTTTTTTTTTTTTAATCATGAGATGTGCAACTAGCAACCCTCCCTTCAGGCATTCATTGTAAGAAGAACAATAATACGTTGGGGCAGTAGATGATGACAGTTTTTATCTCTAACTCCTCACGGAGACCCCTTCTGGGGCCACCCAAACCGTTAGTTGTGTTTGAAGTGGCTTTAGACTTTCCCAGTGTATCTGACAGCCTGATCCCCACCCCGAAGCCCGTGTCGTGACTCAAGAGGATGCCATCATTGTGTAGGTCTGTGCGATGAGTGATGCCCCAAACATGTCAATTTCATTAGGATGTGCTTTAGAAAATTCTTGACGTTTGTGTTAACTTTTTTTTTATCAGCAAAACAGTTGTTCATGCCAGCCAGAGCTATTGTTAGAGATCCAGGAGAGACGCTTAATGAGCTGAACATTGGGCGGGGTCGTTCCTTTCCCTTCACTACTGCTGAGCTGCAAGTGAATGGTACCGTTCAGCCTGTTGGAAATCCGCACATTCTAACGACAGGTTAGAATGTGTGTTGCATCTGTGAGTTTCATACAGAAAGAAATTATTTTTTGTTGATCTATAAAGAGAGTTTAAATGTCATGTTTAAAGAAAAATAGAATGTAGCTAAATTTTATATATTTATGAACTGTTTGAAAGGCATATTTTTTTAATGATCAGATGAGGCTATTCATAAAATAAATTGATTATATGTAAAGATGTCATAATTTAAGATAGTTTTCTAATTGGAGGTCAACATTCCATGTAAATACTGACATAGCCACAAGTGCACTCTACTTGGTCGAATCAGCCACTGGGCATCTTCAGGGAGAAGAAGCACATTTGGAGACGTGAGACGCAGTCACCAATCACCCAGTGTCATTTCACATCAGCCGAGTTGTGAGTTCTGAGTTTCTCAGTGGCCAGATCTGATTTTTGAAAACCTGTCGTCCTGTGGCTGGTCTGAGAAGAGTACCAGTCTCGGTTCGGGTAGAGCGTTGGATTTGTGAAACACTAACGAGGATGTCCTCTAGTGGAAGACCTCTGCTACAAAGAGTGAAGGCAATGTCAGCAGTCCTCTGAGGCACGCAGGCACAGGAGGGCTGAGTCTGCCCTCTGCAGCTGCGCTGAGGTCCTTTGTGAGTCCGTGTGCCCTGGCTCTTTGTTTCAAACCAGTTTCAGACTGGAAGCCCTGCCCTTCTCGAGAAAGCGGGTAGAGATGGTGACGGCGATGAGGCAGTGGCAATCGGGTGTTATAAAAATGAAACTGTCCTCAACTTTCTCCCTTCTTAGACCAGATCTAAAGTGGTATTTTCTTAAGTAATAGAAAGAAAGCGCTTTGGAGAAATCAGGTAGTGTAATAGACACTGCTTCCTAAATGGTTTCCTGTGGCCATCTTCCCGGCTACACAGATTTCATTCCAATCTAATGGACAGGGCTAGCTCAGAGGGCGGGCCAGGAACCACTCATACACAAAGGCCTCCGATTCTGTGCCTTCCTCCTCCACAAATACACACTGAGATGAGCAGCGTCCCCTTGTCCTGGCAGCCTCGCCAGCCACCATCGGAGGAAAGAGGTATATTGACTTGGGCAAGCCCTGCATCGAACATTCAAACCAAGAAGGAAATTCTGTGCTCCCATGAATGCTAAACCAGAGTTGGTGAGAAACAAATGGAAAAGGTGACGTTGGCATTCTGTTTTTCAACCTGGATTTGCCTGATCACGATGGCAGCTCTCCCTGAGAGTTTCCGAGGCCGACGTTCCAGGGACCAGATGATGACAGAGTGTCTAAAAGCGGAATCGTTCACAATGGACAACGACGATAAGCCTGTTGGGGTTACAGGCATGCCATCCAAGTCTTCCCAAAGACCTTAGTACTTCCTTTCTTTCTGAGAAGCAAGAATGTATAATTCAATGTAATGGAAAACCTTACATCTTAATAAAATTGTGTCTTCAAAGGATGTGCATACTTGATTGGTTTTACACTTGTCACCGCATTCCATCATGCTGTGAATTTGTGCTAGCACACCATTCACCCCGGAGAGATCAAATCACTGCTCTCCCACTCCTAGACAAAGTGACCTATCGAAGTCACCACGATGAACACTGAATTCGCCTTTTTGTTTGTAGTTGCTAGAGACGCGGAGCTTTTACTCTCCCCACCACAGTGCAGCAATGGGGCACGGGGAAAACACACTGGGATGCGTGCTCCAGGACCAGCCCTGAGGGGGACACCCTTCCACCTTCTGTTCCTGCAGGGCTCAGTGCCTAGTGCAGCAGGTGATGGCTCAAGTCCGTGGGTCCCTGCCTTGCACATGGGAGACTCAGATGATGTCCCTGCCTCCTGGTTCAGATTTACACCTGCTCCAGCTACTCTGGGCATTTGATGAGTGAACCCATGGGTGGAATGTCTCTGTCTGTGTCTGGCTCTGTTTTCAGATATAAACTCTGGGATAGAAGGAGTTGGCCTTTGTGAACCCCTGTGTTATGACTATCACAACCATTTTATCACATCATGTAAAGCTAGCTGTGTACATATTCCTCAGCACCCTTCAGAAACAATTGCCCTGCTGCTAAGTTTATGGCAGATTTCCTAGTAAAGAGTTTCTTTTCTACAAAACAAATCCTAAGGCCAGTGCTCTGGCATAGCAGATGGAGCTGCCACCTCAACACCAGCATCCCTTGTGGGCATTGGTTTGATACCTGGCTGCTCCATTTCCAGTCTGCCTACCTACTAAAGTGTCTGGGAAAGCAGTGGGAGAGAGCCTGAGTGCTTGCACCCTACACCCACATGGGAGGTCTGGAAGAAGCTCCTGACCCCTGGCTTCAGCCAGGCCCAACCTGGGTCATTACAACCATTTGAGGAGTGAACCTGCGGATGGAAGATTCTCCCTCTCGTCTCCTTCCCTCCCTCTTCCACCCTCCATTCCTCTATCTCCTCTCCCTCTCTTCTCTCTTCTTCTCTCCCCATCTCTTCTATCTGTGTGTCACTGAGACTTTCAGGTAGTTGAGATTAAATACTCTTTTTTTTTTTTTAATTTTTCTTTTGCTGCAAGAGAAGGGGCAGCTGGGCCGAGCTGGGGCGCACAGTGCTGGCCCTCCCCGCAAGGGGCCTTCTGGGGCAAACTAGCAGGTCAGGGGTCTCTCCCTTACTCCGTCTTTCAAGGATAAAAGCCAAACTCGGGGCACACTACCACTGCATGTTACGCAGCACAATCTGCTACAGAGCCCGCGGGACACCTCAGTCTGCCTGTGCCTTTGGAGGCTTGCACAGGTGAAGTTTGGGGACGCACCCTGGCAGGCCTGTGAGGCACCTGTTTGTCCTACTGGGAACCAGGGTGATGTGCATCCACTCGAACAGGACAGTCCCAAACCAGTCCTGCTTCTCTTGCTCACAACCGGTCGGGACCACAAGGAGAGGACCAAGCCCCAGTGAGTGCTTAAATATACATTTAAAGAGAGAAAGTCCTTAAGATAGGAAGACCAGATCTGTCGCCTACAAACCTAGATAATATACATTCATGCATTAAGGGATTTCAGGGGCCCGGCACCGTGGCCTAACAGCTAAAGTCCTTGCCTTGAACGTGTCACGATCCCATATGGGTGCAGCCCCAATTCTTGTCTAGATCCCTGCTTGTGGCCTGGGGAAGTAGTCGAAAACGGCCCAAAGCCTTGGGACCCTGCACCCACATGGGAGACCTAGAGGAAATTCCTGGCTCTTGGCTTCAGATCGGTGCAGCACCGGCTGTCGTGATCATTTGGGAAATGAGTAAATCATCGGACGGAAGATCTTCCTCTCTGTCTCTCCTCTCTCTATATCTCTGACTTTGCAATAAAAAAAAAATAAATCTTACAAAAAGATTTCAGAAACATAAAAAATTAAACCAATAGCTTCCAAGAACCAAAGTGTTTCAATAATAAGATTGGTAACAAAATAGGAGGCAGATTCATTCCAGCAAACAAAGCAGAGGGCATACTAGTAATTCCAAGAAGGAATTTAGTGTCCATTAATTGGGCCAGAAAGTCACTGTTTTTGCAATCAGTGGTGTGATCCATGAAAGAGCGCCGAAGACAGAAAGGAAAAATTGGGGAACATAATCGGCAAAGCCACATTATTTGGTAATCTGTAAAACTCTTAGACTGTCAAGAAAATGGATGCAAAGGGTCTGCAAAACGTAGTTCCTCAGGATGATGACCTTACGGATTGAGAAGAATCATTTGTCCTGAAAGCTCAAATTATACCCTACTGAGCATTTCGATTTTTTAAATTTTCATCCCCACGCATCTGAAAAGCAGAGAGCTTCTAGCCACTAATTCATGACCCCCCAATTCTTGCAACAGCCAGGGCTGGGTCAAGGTGAAGCCAGGGACTGGAACTCCACCCGGTTCTACCACACATGTGACAGGACCCCGAGTACTTGGGCATTCACCCCCTGCCTCCCTGAGGGGTGCAAGAGCAGGAAGCTGGAGCCTGGAGCAGAGCAGGAAGCCGGAGCCTGGAGCAGAGCAGGAAGCTGGAGCCTGGAGCAGAGCAGGAAGCCGGAGCCTGGAGCAGAGCAGGAAGCTCATAAAATTCCAAAATACTTTAAATACTTTATACTTGATAGTCACAGTCTGAGGACCAGAAAGGATAACGAATAACTGCCCCGCCCCCAGATTAAAACCTAAATCTTTTGGTGTTAAAACAGCCTGATGATTGAAGAGATTAAAATGAAATTGTAAACTAACCAGAAATGACAATGATATTATTAGAAGTTTCAGAGCAGGAATAAAATTGAGTTCAGGAATGTTTGTCTCTCTGATTTTTTTTTTTTCCTGAGAAATCAATAAATGAAAAAATTGCTCCAGCGACTTGGGAGGAACAGTAACCTGAGTGGTACTTTGGCAAGACTAACCTATACACTGAATTTTCCAGAAATGCATCAACATGTAAATCAAAGGACAACTGCCCTTCATTTTTTTTCAGAACTTCACCAAGAAGGCCTTACCATTTTGAAACTACAGGCTTTGCACAGGCCTTCAGTTGGGCTACATAGGGAACCTCGGGTGAAGTAGGGCAGGGCTAAATAATTGGCATTAATATAGAGCTGAATTAATTTTTTTCTAAGATGTATTTATTTTTATTGGAAAGTCAGATTTACAGAGAGAAGGATCTCCATCTGTTGATTCACTCCCCAAGTTGCCACAGTGGCTGGAGCTGAGCTGATATGAAACCAGGAGCTTCTCCCTGGTCTCCAACATAGCTTCAGGGGCACAACGCTTTGCACTGTCCTCCTCCGCTTTCCCAGGCCACAAACAGGGAGCTGGAAGAAAAGTGGAGCAGCCGAGATACGAAGCAGCACCCCTATGAGATCCTGGTGCATGCAAGGCAAGGAGTTTAGCCACTAGGCCCCAATATAGTTCTGAATTATATGAAAAGCTCGAGCTGGGACAGAAGTTTGGGCCCACATTGGATTGCCTTAGGTTTGATGTCAGGGTCTGGCTTCTGTCCCACTTTCCTGCTAAGGCCTTTTCTTGGACATGGCAGTGATGGCTCAAGTGGCCATGTCTGTGCTGCACAGGCAGGCCTGGATTGAGCTAACAGTTCCTGGCCTAGTCCCAGTCCAGTCCCAATCATTGCAGACACTGGGGGCAGGGTAAACCAACACACAGAGCATTTCTCTGCCTCTGCTTCTGTCTGCAATCTGAATAATTTGTGGAAAGATGATTTTCTTAACTAGATCAGGGTCTAGCCCTGCCAAGGTAACTGCAGGATGTGGAATTCAATAAACCTATAACAGGCTAATTTAATTTTTTTAATTTGTTTATTTTTTATTGGAAAGGCGGATATACAGAGAGGAGGAGAGGCAGAGAGGAAGATCTTCTGTCTGAAGGTTCACTCCCCAAGTGGCCGCAGTGGCTGGAGCTGAGCCAATCCGAAGCCAGGAACCAGGAACCTCTTCCAGGTCACCCACATGGGTGCAGGGTCCCAAAGCCTTGGGCCATCCTTGACTACATTCCCAGGCCAGAGGCAGGGAACTGGAAGGGAAGTGGAGCTGCCGGGATTAGAACTGGTGCCCATATGGGATCCCGGTGCGTTCAAGGTGAGGACTTTAATCACTATGGTATTGCACTGGGCCCAACAGGCTAATTTCTGTATTGATAGTTTGGTATGACCTATCACTGATGTCAATATCCATATGCCCCTTTGCTGAAATAAATAAATAGATAGGTAGGTAGATAGATAAATAAATAAACAAACGATAAAATGGTTCTGCCCCTGAGGATAATGCAAGCCTGTTTGTGTTGAGGTGTGGTGGGTAGAGCTGTTGCCCGTGATGCCAACATTCCTGTGGTGACACCGGTTCAAGTCCCAGTTGCTCCACTCTTAAGTCAGCTCCCTACTAATGCACTTAGGAAAGCAACTGCAGGCTGCCCAGTGCTTGGGCCTTTGTACCACACAGTGGAGACACAGATGGAGTTCCATGCTCCTGACTGTAGCTTGATGCATCCCTGGCAATTGCAGCCTTTTGAGAAATTAACCAGCAGATGGAAAGATGGAAGACTCATATTAATTCTCTCTCTGCGTGTATGTGTACCTACCTCCCCCCGCCCCTGTTTAACTCTGCCTTTAAAACAAATAATCTAAAAAAGAAGAGCTTGGTGCCAGGATCTCTTAAGGATCAGAGAAGGGGCTGGTGTTGTGGTGCAGTACCACTGCCTGAAATACCTGTTGGAGTGACTTGTAATCCAGCTTCCTGCCAATGCACCTGGGAAAGGAGCAGGTGATGGCTGAGACTTGGGCCCCTTCCACCCATGTGGGAGACTCAAGTGACATCAGTCCGGTTTAGTTGCAGCTGTTGACGGCATCTGGAGAGAGATGTGAGAAAAGGGAGGTTCGTTGGCACTGTGGCGGGGTAAGCCACAGTAGTGGAGGGAAGAAGAGTGTTCAAGTGGTCTTCATTTTCTCCATAGGTTAGGAA